GCGAGTGCATGTTCAAAAGTTCACGAAGGCAGATTTGGAACAGCATTCCTGGACGCCTGCAAAGTTTTCTATAGTAAGCCGCTCTTATCAGATATTTTACTTGTCACTAAAATAAGGTCGCCTTATCGACTAATATAAGCTGTAAATATGAAAGTTGTTGTGTTTCGTTTTTTAATATGAAATCTACTACGAGCCGTATATTTGCTCATCACCCTGGAAAAGCAAGCAAATCTGATATTTAATTTTTCAAATCGCGTGATTGACGTATTCATCTATAGTTCAGAATAAACACAGAAAACAATTATTCCAGATGTTATTATGGCTTGTCTGTACATATTGGGTAACACTGATAGCGGCTTCAGTAGATGATGCAGAAGCCGACGAAGGGTAGGTGAAGATGAAGGGTCAGCCAGCAATAATGCTATCTAACCCAACAATTTGCTCGTTTCAGACCCTTTAAGGTGTTTCGAATCGTTCCAACCACGCCGTTTCAACTAAAGAAGATCATCGCGCTATTTGAATCGGCGAAAAGCGATGTAAAACATGAATTTTTCGCACTTGAGCTGATCAACTTTTTGCCAGCATTTTCTTCCAGGAAGCAGATTTTTGGCATGCACCAAGTGTTGTGAACAGCACAGTGGACGTTATGGTGTCACCATCTTTTATCGAAAAATTCACGAAATTCCTTGACGAACACGGTTATCCCTATCACATTGCCATAGAGGATCTCAAAAAGTCAGCTTACTTTCATATTTTAACTTCAAAAAATTTCTGCGTATTAAATTAAGGATGCTCATCGAAAAGGAGGGTCCAATAAGAATGAACGTCAAAGGAGTTCCGGAGAGAGATCTCGTTCGGATGCATGATGATACGGGCAGTTTTGTTAGCAAGCTGAGGTTGGCTGGATTGGATATGAATTTGTGCAACTGCCTTTTTTTCAAAACGTAAAATCAAAAACAAGATCGTTAATGAAGCTTAAGATTCATTGCGGCAATAGATAAGAAGTTTTTTATAATCAAAAAAAAAAACTCCAAAAAACTTAATCTTCAAAATGATAAGAAAATTCCGTGATTTTCAATCTTTGTTTTTTCCTGACGTCCTTTCAATTACTTGAAACATTGTTCCAGCTACTAAGATGCTCTATTTCACCTAGAAAGATTGAAGAAAGTGAACAAGCGCATAGGACGAATTGTAACATGCAGAGTGCTTTTGTTTCAGTCGATCATTGTATGGAGCTCTTGTCCGTCTAAATTTTAACTTTCTAGCAAGAAAAGCTTTCATTTGATCATCGTGCAAGCTTCTCATAATCTTCAATTTTTCATACAGGTCAAACACTAAAGGCTAAAAGCATATAATCGGAAAGGTCGGGAATAACAAGAAGTATTTTCTCAACCGAAACTTTTCCTCTCATAAAATTATGTTAATTCGAGAATAAAACTATTTGACTAGTAAGATCAAAATTTTTAAATGTTAAGAAGGCGTCTTTGGGAATTAATTTTTAGAACTGAAAAAAACCAACTTATTGCTTTAGAATGGGTGAATACTACTCGTACTCGGTTATCATGTCGTGGATGAAACGAATCGCAGATCGTATGCCAGAAATCGCAAAATTGGTTGATGTTGGTACAAGCAGTGAGGGAAGAAGTATTGTTGGCTTGCAGGTTTGTTTATATTTACGCAGGGGTCACAAAAAAGTGGATAATATCATTATCTTATTTAAATTTCATTAAGATTCCCTCAAATTTCAGTTTGGAAGAAACGCATACAATAAAAAAGTTGTTGTGATTGATGCTGGTATTCATGCTCGCGAATGGGCTGCGGTTCATACTGCCATGTACTTTATCAATCTGGTCAGTTGGACACAGAAGAAATTTCCTCAATCGACAGATTTCCCTCTTGGGGATCAGTTCTCGCGAATATAAACCCATACGCTACATGATTTAGATTGTTAATGGCCGTGATAGCGACCCAAAAATACGTAACTACCTCGACAATCTTATTATTTACATTTTCCCAGTTCTTAATCCTGATGGCTACGAGTACACACGTACCGATAGGACAAATCCTAAGGTGACCTCTTTCCCTACTTTTCTTCTTCTTTATTTTCAAGCCTGCATAT